GCGAAAAATTCTTCAAATGAAGGGGATATAGGGATGGCTCGAACCACCAAAAAGGAAGAGACAAGAGTCGTTATATAGCTACCAAGCAAAGATACACAAAGATACATGACACCATCCCTTATATCAATAAAACAAATACATTATAGGGATGGCGTCATGTATCTTTGCTGGGATATGGCACCTTGTCTATTACTTTTTGGTGCTTCAAGCCATCCCTACATCCCCCTTTATTTTGAAGAAATGATTTTTCCACTTGTTTTCACTATTATTTAATGAACAGCTATGACAACACAGCATTTTCTATTACTGTCACTCTGATTTGCATGGGTATGTCGTATGGCTGATCATGGGATGAGTGAATTCTATCTTGTTGAAAGCAGTAGCCACGGGTGCTTATGCCTGAAGCAGGGGGAAGTAGACAGAGATTGTCTATTGTCTCCAATGACGTAATTAGGTTGTGAACAGGATTGTAGTTTCATTGGCAGGCTCTGCAATCAGACTGTATCCAATGTAATAGCTACAAGCTTGGACACAAACGGCGGATGGAAGCGTAACTATACGCTAGCGAAGTTGCTCCAGTGCAAACCAACAGGTTGCTTGTTGAAAATGTGTAGACCAAGATTACTTACAGAAGGCTTTGACACTGAGAGTTCCGCATGTCTGTCAACAACCCCCTGGACATTCGACAACGACAACCACCAGGTGAATGCGAGCTTGATACTGCGTGCATCAGGACAATCCCCCTTGCTCGGTGCATGCTGCTCTCTGCTTGCTGAGTTAGCAGCAAATGGCGTCGTTCAGTGTCTCCCATGTAAGAGTGCCACAATGTACAGCAGTGACTTGCGACAAAAAAGCGATAGCTTGTTATCCATGCAACCTGACGAATTTGGAGATGTTCAGTGAAAAAATCAGTGCATCAACTTGTTCCAGTAAGGAGAAAGCGGGTCTAAAGATGAAGAAGAAGAAGATTCGATGGCACAATTACCGTGAAATTGTGTATGAGCTAATTCTCGCGTGGAGTACTAAAGGTATGTGTGAGTCCTTAATGGTAGATGTATAGCTAGATATTGGCCCGTAGACTATTGCTAGTGTGTTTTGAAGGTCTATGAGTTATTAGGTGTTGTGTACGCGGATCACATGAGGTTTGACCAGTGCCATCCCTATAGAGAGCGTCTACCGATAATAGTGTGTTCATAACTATACGTGACTTTTTACAGCACTTCTTTTTAAATTAAAGGGTTCGAAGGAATTGAGCGTGTTGAAGTAGGTGCAGTTACTGGTGTTGGAGTAGACAACACATTTCTAGCCAACAACATTTCTTTTCTCTTTCCTGGTGAGACTACAATACTCATGCGGCCACACTGTTAAAGTGTTGTTACAGACGGTGTTCCTATTGACGGAGTGCCAGTTGAGGAGGTGGTGACAGTCTCCATGGGTCTTACAGTTGTCTACATGATTCTTGCTGCAGCTGGACTTGTCTTTACCACCACTTGTCTTGTTTTCATGTTCTACTTTCGAAAAAGGAGGTATAATAATATGAACAGTAACGTGGAGCTAGGCTGCTAACGAAGAGAGAGAAAACTAAAAAAATTGCACACACTATAAGTGACACTTTTGTTTATAACCTATAGGCTATTGTTTGTCAATCTCTTTCTGTAGGTTGATTCGACTCTCCAGCCCCAACCTCAATTACATTATTGGACTAGGAGCTATAGTTCTCTACTTGAATGTCATAGTTCTAGTTATTCCCGCTAAAAGTGAAAACGTTGCTACAGTGATTTGCAATGTAAGCATGATATGAGTATATTAAACTACCTCTGAAAAGAGGCATTTTCGATGTCTCCAAGGTGTCCATTATTAGGAAAAATATCACTAATTGGATACTCTGCCACACAGACAAATCCATGGCTGATTTCACTGGGATACTCACTGTGTTACGGCATTATTATTATAAAAATGATACGAGTGTGGGTACTGTTTAACCGAACATTTGGATTTAAGACTGTAAGTGTTTATAATATGTCCACTATGGTTAATTAATTAACTCTCCTTTTGATAGTCCCTATTCAAGGACTATCTGATGGCGCTGTTTGTCCTGTCTCTGGCCATCATTGATGTAGTCATTCTCCTAACATACACTGCGACTGAGGCTGTGAGAGACAACCTTGGTGTGAAACTCACAGCAAACCGAGAACTACCTGGGGAGACTTTTGGAGTAAGAGCTAAAGAAATTCTTGGCATAATTCAACCTACTTTGTCAAAAACATTTGTAAATGCTTGTATCGTTACGAAAGGTCATTACTGTCACATTAGAAGCCAACTTGGTTTCTTATAATCTGCATCACAAGCTAGCATTAAGTCAACAAAAGCCTATTTAATAGCGTAGACGTAATGAATATCACCTACTGATGACTACACTATGCTAGTGGTGAAGCTGTTTCATTGTTGGTTAGTTTACAGAACCAGAGGCGACAAAAACCCACAGCTTGCGTCCACCCCCTTTGCATACTTCCTTTGAAAATACCTCTAACGGTGTATAATCTGCCTCTCTGTAGCAGGAGAATGCTCAGTTTGCTAGTCGCAATTCATCATTCAGATGTACAGGCAACTTGCCTGATTTAGGTTCTAGTAAGAGAAAATGTTGGACCAATGTTTTGCTATTGCGGATAATACACTGAAAGCAAGCAGGGAATAGCTGTAGCTAGAAGATGGTCCTACAGTGAGACTAGGACATGTAAGTGTTTTTAGAGCCTATCTAGCTGACTTCAGAGTTTTCTGTACAAATCGCATGACAAACAGCAAAGAAAGATTTCAATGCATCATTGGACTTCCTTAGCTGTCCGTGCAAGGGCTTATCCGACATTACCCTTACATGGAACTCTATTGATGTAATGATAATTTCATTAGGCAACAGCAGAGTATCACAAATACTTTCTCTATGTCTGTGAATCTGATGGGCAAGTCGTCCTCTACGCAATTCTGTTTGGATACAAAGGCATTCTGCAAGTCCTGTCTCTGCTCCTGGCTTTCCGTACTCGCAATGTGAAGGTGAAGGGTCTGGATGACTCTGTGTACATTGCTGCCTCTGTGTACGTCACAAGTATTGTGTTGACTGTCATCATTATCTCCACCTATACTCTGAGGGACTATGTGAATGCCTACCCAGCTGTGGTGGGAATGGGGTTACTGCTGGGAACCACCATGATCCTCGGACTTGTCTTCATACCAAGAGTAAGGCTTCTGAAAAATAACAAATAACCATTGATTTTTTATCAATAGATTGTGGGGCTTTACAAAGACCCAAAAGGAGAAACAGTCAGTACATTTGCAACATCAGGTCAAAATGATGAAGCTGAGCAGACTAAATCAGGCAGTGATATGGAGAACGAACTAAAGAAACTTCGTTGTAGGGTCATTGAGCTTGAAACAACCATAAAAAGTCACGTAAGTTCTTCTTCACAGCTAGGTGGATACCATGGCCTAGCAATAAACCCATTTCAGAACAGCTATCATTTCAGTGTGTTTTGTATCGGCATTTCTTATCCCTACACTTTTTTCCATTAATAATATTTTATTGCAGTGTTTTTGTACACAGGCCCCGGGGGGTGTTGATTTGTCCACGTGAAGAGGCTGTCAATGAAGAAAGCAACAACTGAAGACATGTGCAGTTTATAATCAAACTACTTTTTGTAGACAAAGTAGAACTACGTAATAATGTTAAAGTAGAACTGCGTAAAAATGAGTAGAACAACCTAATAATTATGTCATTTTTGTGCCTACCATATTAAGGTTGGCATAGTAAACTCCTACTTTGCACACATTTCTTACCAAAGTAAATGAAGTGCAAACCCTCGGCGACTGTGCATGCGCGATACCGCTAATGGGTTATTGGCGGTCTCCCGCTAGTATATAGCTCGCGGAGAGTCTGACACGGGCTAGCTACTGTACGTAGTAGATAGCATGCGGGAGTCGATACACACCCTTCACTGTGGCCCCCAAGGTACACAGAGCAAGCGGATCAGGTCGAGGTGAGCCAGCATACTGCATCGATCGCGTCTAATACACGCATGTGCACCGCTTATTGATGGGTTGGGCCACGTAACGCTGTCCGCGACCGTGCCAGTTTGTCTCTCTCGAACGCAGTCGTTTCAGCAAAATCGCCATTTTATTTTTCTAGCCCACGTAGCTACCGTTGGTATCGCTCATTAGCCGCCACGTAGCCTGTAGTGCGAGAATAGTCGTAGACAGACAGACACACACGCACACACACACACACACAGAACGACTACCGTAACACTCGCTGAAGAGGTCCTTTGGGGTCCGCGGAAGGGCAGGTTGAAAATAGCGATAAAGAGCCATCGCGATCTCGATTCAGCTGCTGGCTTCTTAGCCCCGCCCCCGCGCGTGCGCTTTTCCAACAGTGACGTCATTTCTATTATTTTCGCGCACATCTACCTGTCCGCGAAATTTTGCACCACACGGAAATTCCCATATATATATACTACAAATAGCCCAGCCCATCAATCAATTAGCGGTAACCCTCGGCGGCGCGCATGCGCACAGTACTTGATCTGTCTGTCCTTCTGTCCGTCTATTACCACGATTTCTACCACCACGCGCAACAAACAAGTAAAATAGCGACACCAGCGCGTTCAGCACTACACTGGCTTTACTTTTAAATAAGCGATTTTCGCAAAAGTGCCGCGTTCAGAAGTTATGGCGTGAAAACCAAATGAACAAGCCAATACGCTAATTAGCACTGGCTTACCCCGACCTGATCCGCTTGCTCTGTGTACCTTGGGGGCACATGAAGCCACAGTGAAGGGTGTGTATCGACTCCCGCATGCTATCTACTACTGTAGCTAGCCCGTGTCACACTCTCCGCGAGCTACTAGCGGGAGATCACGGCCCAGCGCATGCCCAGTTCGCCGAAGGTTTGCACTTAAGTGCTTTTCATTTGGTTCAGTGTAGGAGTTCATTGCTGTGTTGTCAACTGAAGATGACCACCCTTGACCCAATCATCCTTCTGGGAATTGTATGTTTATCTTCTCTCTTCATCTCTCCATTACTCTCATAGTAACCGTGCCTCCTCCTCGTCTGGCTCCTTCTTTTCCTAGCCCCTAATTTTTTCCGCGCAATGTAATTTATTTTCACTCCTGGGCGTCATCGAATTGCTCCAATTTTATAACAACGGCTTACGCTTCCCTTCGGGACTCCTTAAGCCATCGTCCGTGGCCTCCTCCATGCGCTGGGCTCCTCTCTTGTGTTCCAACATGCGTGTTCATCCTCCGTAGTGCCTTCCTTGAATCTATTTCCTGACCGCTTCCACGGGTATTCGGCATCGTCCTCCTAAAGCTCCTTGCACGTAGAATAATCCCGTTGGGTGTTGTATGCATCCGAGTTGTACCTGTGAACTCTGTGATATGCAGGTCTGTACTCACACTCTTCACATCCGTTCCCTGATTAGATAGCATAGCGAGTACCGATATTTCGTATCATGTAGCTGCTTACCCTGTTCCGTCGGGCTCCTAGTTGTTTGAGGCTACACGCAATCCGGGCGGCATGCATGTTTGTGTGTCGAGGTGTCTCCATGTGGCACTTGTTGTATCTTTTAGCCATACTCATAGTCGCAGTAGGTGCTCCATTTACGGCAGGGACGGTTATTGTCTCCTCTAACCCTGCTCTGGAAATTTCGTGCCATATTTTGGAATCCTTGTCCTCTCCGTTCCTGGTGCTGCGTCCGACTAATGCCTGGTCTGGGATGGTAGACTTCCCTCAGTAACCTTCGCGTCCGCCTGGGTTTCCTCCGTTGAGGCTCCGATTGAGTGCCAGTGTGCGGTTTCTCCTTTCTGCCCGTGTATGAGCTAACGACGGGCTCGAGTGGGTACAAGGGGATGGTGTTCCGGTTTGGGGTGCGTTCTCCTTCGCTCTCCATGTGTTACTGCTGGTAGCTAGCCCATTGTCAACATACCTCTCCTCCTCTACTCGCTGATATCCCGCGGCCCATCGCATGCCCAGTTTCGGCCGTAAGGTTTGGCACTTAGTGCTTTTCATTTGGTTCAGTGTAGGAGTTCATTGCTGTGTTGTCAACTGAAGATGACCACCCTTGACCCAATCATCCTTCTGGGAATTGTAGTGTTTATTGGCAGGGAGATCCCCTGGGGTTGCGCCAAGAAACAGCGTTCTATATTATTATAAGAGCTATGTTTGCGCAGACACAAAAAAGAGCAACCTTTTAGCTAAATAAATTCAAGCATGCCGAGCTGGAACCTCTTTGTGAAAGGACAGGAAGGGAAAACAATGAATTTCATTCAGGAGGACGATCCAACAGTGAGTTGATGGACCATAGCTATAAGCAATTTGATCGTGACTTCAAGACTAAGTCTATTTAATTAGCTAGTCTGCTAAGGATATTAATTGATGGGCCTGACTGACACTTTTTTACAGAATATTCCGGTAGATACCGTGAAAAAGCTGATTCAAGAGAGGACTGGGTTGCCTCCTTCAGAGCAACGGCTAATATTTGAAGGAAAGCAAATGGAAGATGGAAAGAAGCTCAGTTCCTACCGTATTACCAACAATGCGACGATTTTTCTTGTTATGCGTCTGGTTGGTGGAGCACGACGACCACCACAGCCACATGTCCGTAAAATTGACCCTTCGGTTCCCCGCAGTGATGAAGACTGCATGATAATGTTCACTGATGGAGAGAATGTCCGAATGCCCTGTGGGCACACCCTCTCCCCTGAAGGCCTCATTGAATACAGCTGGAGAGAGATCTGCATCAACAGAAAAACTGAGGTCCACTGCTGTCTTTGTAATCAGTTGTGGGACACAGGCACAATTCGAACGTATGGTGGTGCCACTGACCAGGAGATAACTGTTCTCCAGGAGTGCATGTCTCTGAATTACTGCCAGAAAGATTCAAAGATATCAGAGTGTCCCAGCTGCCAGAACTTTAGTGAGAGGATGTGTGAGTCAGATCTGTGTGTCGTCTGCCGAATTTACTCCAAAAAGAAGGGTAAAACCTACAATTTCTGTTGGGACTGCAAGCAAGAATGGATCGGAAACCCCACCAACAAGAGGTGTGGGAATGATAAATGCAACGCTCTAGAGCTTCTCGATAAACTCAGAAACTGCCCAGAGGTGGAAATTTCCTATCTGAAAGGAGTCAAAGCCCCCTCCATTCGAGCATGCCCATGCTGTGGCTCCCTCATTGAGCACGGTGGCCAGTGCAAGCACATGACCTGCAAGGCTTGCTCAAAGGAATTCTGCTTTGTGTGTTTGCGTTTTCAGGAAGGTGGCTCTTCGTCCTGCGGATCGTTTGACACCCCTTGCAGCGTCGCCCCTCGCCAGAGCAGAATTCCTTCTCGTAATTAGCTAACTAGTACACCAGCTAACTTCCAGAAGGGCCAGAAGTAAAAGACCCAAAAGTAGCGTATTATGTGTGTTTGATAGAAGTTTGCATTGCTGTAACAGTAACAGTTTTTCACAATCAGGAAAAGACGTTTGTTGCTACATTGCTATATAGGATCACAATATGTCGCATTTCCCCATCGCGTCCTGCCGCGAAAGCTATCCTCGCGGTGTGGCACGTCGCAACAGGGCGATTGTGAACCAAACCTAATGCAAGAGTGAATGAGGCCGCACGGCCAATGTATACAAGTGGAAAAATCATTTCTTCAAAACAAAGATATAGGGATGGTGTCATGTAGCTTTGTGCATCTTTGCTGTGTAATGACCCATGTTTTTTGGTGCTTCAAGCCATCCCTATATCCCCCTTTCATTTTGAAGAAATGATTTTTATACTCGTTTCCACTAAAATTTAATGGCTTAGGAAAACACTGCATTTTCAGTCACTCTGTTCATGAGGTGATGTAGAGATAACTGATGAAAGCAGTAGCAAATTGGCATGGTGGTGGCTTCATGGGCAGGCTTCAGTAATCAGACTACAATGATAGCTATAACCTGACAAAGAGTGAAGGCTCATTTGTACGCCCGGCAAGGCTTGCGTAACACTGCACAGACTCTGCCAAGTTGCTCCTCGTGCTAATCAACAGCATAACACAACCTAGCTAGTTAGAAATGTGTATACTGACTTACAGAAGGCACTGAAGGATGAGAGTTCCTCTGCAGGAATGCTGTGGGAACATTTGTTAGACTATTCCCCCATCTCTGACTGTCAGTGGGGTTTCCAGAAACCAAACACAACAGCTCTACTTTTTACTACACAAGAGTGGCTTAAATTTCTTGATAGGAAACAGGAGGTTATTTGTGTGTACTTTGACTACATAAAGGCATTTGACAGTGTTTCGCAGAGAAAGTTATGGAGAGGTTATCCCAGTTTGGTTTTCACCCACTTATTTCTGTCCTGGCTAAAGCAATAGACAACAGTTTGTTCGTGTCAATGGTGATGGCTCACAGCCTGTAGTGGTTCGCACAGGAGTACCGCAAGGCTCTGTGTTAGGTCCCTGTTTGTTTTTACTCTACATCAAACGACGTCACTAAACATAGTTGTCTCTCTATGCTGATGACATGTTACTTTGCAAGCCAATCACTTGTCAGACATATTATTGTGACGAAATACAGCAGGATTTTAATAGTGGTCAGATTAGAAAATGTTGTCTTTTAACAGAAACAAAATTAATACAAGTGTATGTTGCTGTCCAACAAACGCAACAATTCTCCGCCATCAATTATCAGCCACTTGAGTTTGTCCAGCAGTACAAGTGTTATTCTATCAAGCAACCTATGCTGGTCATCTCATACCAACTATTTATGCAGCAAAGGGTAGAAAAGTTCTAGGCATCCTCTACCGCAATATCTCACCAAACACTAATAACGGTTTGTTATGAAACTTTATGTGGCTCTTGTTCGACCACACCTCAAGTATGCGGCACAAGTGTGGAATCCCCATCACCAAAATACCTTAATTGTCTAGAAATGGTGCAGAAGTTTGCTCTGAGAATTTGTTCAAAAGACTTATCAAAATCTGCTGGATTTCCATCACTTCAGAACTGGAGGTTGTTATTGTGTTTATCTGTATTGTTACCGGACTTGTGTATTTCCCAAGTGAGAGTCTCCCTCCACCCACCATGGCATCTACCTACAGTCCAACTTACAGGGTTCCTCCAGCTCATCCCAATGGCCTTCAATTTTCTATGTAACTTCTGTGTTTATGTTCAGACATGTCATATCACCTCTCTTTATGTGTTGGTAATAAATATAGATACTTGGGTCACTTCAAAACAATATTAGCTCTGCTATTTAGTGTATCCATGCATACTTCAGCAAAAAAATGCTTCTTACCGCGCGCAACATGCGCGCCACAATCGGCATAGCATGCAGTTACGGGACGCGCTTATGACTCGATGAGCTGGGATGTAGGCTGTTGGCGTTGCGGAGGGTGTTCTTTGCGGCCTACGCAGTGGCCCCAAGTAAGTCCATTCGTTCACGAATCGCACCGCGGGAGGCTTGAGGAGAGCGGGGCCGCAGCCGATTTTCCGAGGGCTGGCCCCTCGAGAGTATTGGCGTGCGATAGCCAGCGAAAATTCAGTCCACTGCCGCTAAGGCAGATCTTGACTACATCAATACAAAGCCTACACATTGACCTGCTACTCCTACAAAAATTATCCGCTCGGCTGCTTCCAAGGCGGAGCGGTTGTCCTACAAAGTCAACGTCCGAAGACTCAAAACATCGGACAAAAATATCACTTGTCGGACGGCTCCGTTTTCTTGCTCTCTTGTACACGCACCAAATCACAGGCAGCAGCTTTAAGTAAGACTACCCCTCTACTACTTGTATACAACAAGTGAAGCGAGTCCGCGTTCACACGTCGTCGCAAACATGGAATGTTTCCGCAAGGGTCCCGCCCTCGATAATCGGACGCGCATGCGCATTACTAAGGAAGAGAATACTGATCATAGTTGACCAAAAATGCTTAGCAACAGTTAAAGGTTCCATCTCTTGCTTTTGTTAAAGATATCTTTACACACACGCAGTGATACCACTGGGTGCATCTTTCACACTGAACCCAATTCCTGGCTCTTGTATGTTCACATGTTCCAGCAACACATTCACCTAATATAAATGACTAAAAATTAAACAAACAATAACAAAACTTACTGTAGTCAGTCAGTGGTGCCACCCTTGCACGTGTGCTACATGTTTGCACTAGAGTGAAGGAATGTAAAAATGCCTTACATGGTACTGCACCGTAAAACAACGTACCTTTCCTCTGCGGCCTATTCTCTCTCTCCTTCGTACCTGGAACTGTAAATAGTGTGGCACAAAATTTTTAAACCAACCACAGTTTACATACCCAGTTCTGAGTCAGCCAGCTGAAGTGTGCTCTTGCCTTGAGCTATCCCGCCAACACTGGACGTATCCACTAAATCAAGCATAACGTGCACATAACAACAATATTGTTTGCTTGGCTCGCAAAATACAGTCACATTGAAAGGAAAGCCACAAGTTGTAGCGATGATCATGAGTTAAGTCGTATCCATTTTCATATCTTCTCTTATAAAGGTACAATTCTTCACAGGAAAATTCATTTTCACTAGCATCTGTCAGGTTAATAATCAAATCCCGTTACTTCTTATTACATACTACCTTACCACCAATGTCTACATTTTGGTGTGTTGTAAGTGGAGCGGTTGACCTTTTCTTCTTAGCAACTAAAAGGAAAAAATAATTACTGAGAGTATAACACCTTTGTTAAAAATCTATTACTCAATGCGCACTTTTCGCAAGTGGGAGCGACCCAACTGCGGATACACAATCATTCCTGAGTATGTACAGAGAGCTCCTGCTCGCCAATTATCATTCACCTTTGGAGGCTAGCATGCTTCTTCTTTCTTCCTTGGCTTTCATTCGCTCCACCTTCTTCTTCTCCTTTTCCTGCTTTGCTCGCTCTTTTTCCGCAATTTTGCTAAGACTTTCTGCACTTGTCAATACGCGGCCACATGACTTTGGACGATATGTTGTTTGTCTGTTAACAGGAGAGGGACACCTAAGGAATCTGCTCACTGCTGAGGATTGTGGAGCCTGAAGCCAAACACAAGAGGTGTCAGGAAACTCCGAAGTATCATCACCAAGGTGGTATGTGCTTGAATCATCAAGATGGGGAGAGCTACTTTCAAGACATTGCTCAGAGGCACGAGGCTTGGTACGTCGTATTGCAGGACTATATAGTGGGATGAAAGCTAGTCCACTCTCTCTTACCAATGGAGGGAGGGTCTTCCACATCAGAAAATATGTCCCTGTTTAGAGGATGCACCCCTGTGACCCTGAACCCTGCACATACGTTACTTATTGTCATGCTTTTCATCCATGCTTGATTGAAAAGCCTTGAAAATTGGTACCGGGTGACAATTTTTCCTGCGTTCATTGTCAGGAACTGGTGACATGCTTCCCTCCATGCAACTTTAAGAGGACCAAAGCACCCTTTGTCAAGTGGCTGTGATAGGTGAGTTGTATTGGGCGGCAGAGTGAATAAAATGACCTGTTCGTTTGCTGCGAGTCGGACGGTATCTGGGCAGTAATGAGAAGAGTGACCGTCTAGAAGGAGTAAAATTGGTCGGACTGCGGGTGCAAAGCGCAAAAAATGGTTGGTAAACCATAGGTTAAAGAGTTCCATGTCCATCCACCCATTTTTAGACAAACCATATATGGTTCCAGGAATCTCACCGTGAGTTAATTCTGGTGATAGAAATTTTCTGTCCCAGATCACCATTGGGGGAATACAATAACCAGCAGCACTCACACATGCCACAACAGTTATCTGGGTTTTGTCTCCTGATCCTATGGCTGACACAGCGGCTCCTCTCACAGCAACTAGCTTGGGAGGCTTGGCATCCAATGGCATGCCACTTTCATCCATGTTAAACAATTGCCCTGGCTTCCCTACCAGGTCATTCTCCTGTATCGTCTTCTCCAGGAGGTCAAAATAGCGTGCCAGCATTTCAGGATCTGTTGCTTTTGCCCGAGCGAGTGAGAGAGGTACTGCTGTCCTGAGAGTTAGACCAGGATGTCTACGGCGAAATGACTCCCACCACCCATTGGTTACGGATTTCTGAATTCCTCGACTTTCCAAAACACACTGAACTAAGGCTAACACCTCTTTACGAGACTTGGCGTAACCTATTGAGGCGCAGCGTGTAAGAAAAACAACCAGCTCTTCCTCTTCTGCAAATGAGAGGTAAGTTGCTGGACCACATGAGGCATCTGCTAACACACGGCCACTTAACCGGTCGCCCAGAGATGACTTAGGGACACCATACTGCTCAGCAGCACGACGAATGCTCATACCCTCATGTAATACTGCATCTATCGCTCCGTGCATTTGCTCCTGTCCCCAAAGTCTATACGTTCCTGTATGTCCCACATCTCTATAGGGTGCTGTCAGTGGCAGTGGGCTAACATTTCTGCTGCGATAAACCCTGTTCCTCAAGGGAATTGACTGAAGAATCTTGTAAAACCTATTAGTTAAAAGCAGGATAATTAATAGCATACGCTAATCACTGAACTAAGTGCTAAACCCTCGGCACGAAAGTCAGGAGAGATAATGTTGCGGAAATAGCATAGCTGTTGCACAGTCGTAAGGCAAAAAAGTTGACCAAAATTGTGCATAGTGAAGTGGAGTCCTCCCCTCTCTCTCTTTTTTTCTACTTATTCATGTGAAAGCGTGAGCCGTTTTAAGGGATTGCACAACCCGAAGCTATGAGGTTGCAGCTCTGGCGTGGTGTGTGTGTGTGTGCGACACTCTACGCATGTCACCGCCAACACACGTAGTGCGCACGTTATGTGGGTGCAACAAATGGCAAACCATGAGTGAGCCAGTAGTACAGGAAAAACGCTCTGGGTCAGAACAAGGCATTTTTAAAATCCAACATTTTTTGATCTTCATCTGCCACTGAAGAGGTATATAGCTTCATTTTTCGGGAGACTAACTCAAAAAGTGAGTTATCGAATAACGGACAAACACACACACAGAGATCAACTACCTTAACCCCTTGGCACATGTGCTGAGGGTAAACAGATCGACTCGAAACCAAATTTCCTATACAGATGTGGCATGCAATTCATACGCACCAGCAGAAAGGATAAAAGGGGCATGTGAGTTTTAGACCGTAGGGAATGTGCGACAAAGGACGCGCATGCGCAAGCAGCACGTGTTCAAAGGCTTACCCGTCTTTCCAGTTCCTCTGCAGTGGCCCTACTAGAGCCCAGCTAGGCGGTCTGTAGATAGAAACACACTATCATCATCACAATGCCTTAAGCGGCAAGAAAGAGAGCAAACTAACCAAGATCACAGCTGCCTGCGAAAACTTGGGGAAACTTGACTCGCGACCCAAAGAACGCACGCAAGCCACGCATGCGCGTCCGATAATCGAGGGCGTGATCGACCCCTGCGGAAACATTCCATGGTTTGCGACGACGTGTAAACGCGGACCCGCTTCACTTGTTGTATACAAGTAGTAGAGGGGTAGTCTTACTTAAAGCTGCTGCCTGTGATTTGGTGCGTGTACAAGAGAGCAAGAAAACGGAGCCGTCCGACAAGTGATATTTTTGTCCGATCTTCGGACGTTGACTTTGTAGGACAACCGCTCCGCCTTGGAAGCAGCCTAGCGGATAATTTTTGTAGGAGTAGCAGGTCAATGTGTAGGCTTTGTATTGATGTAGTCAAGATCTGCCTTAGTGCCCTGATATTCCCAGAGTAAGTGTCCGACCATTGATGGTGGCCGACCTTTGATCCCTTGCTCTACTGACTCCCCTCCCCATTTTAATGTCCGTAAACAAACACCAGAGAAGCAGTTTAGCGCTCTTTCCTAGCAGAGTAGCTACCGCTAGCTAAGGCAGTACCACTGTTTTCACAGAGGCTAAAGAGATGTTGCGAATGTTATGGTTCCACCTGACTGTTGCCTTACAAGCAGCTCTAACATCCAGTCAGTGGCCCTACCACCAGATATATCCCCCAGTCAACGACACGGATGGCCGGACACCGCTGTATTTCGCAACAGTACTTTCTTTTGGTGGGAGCAGCTACAAGAGCGTCGGAGCACTGCCGGGAATCCAGATAGCACTGGACTACATCAACAGGGAACCCTCCATCCTCCCTGGATACAGTCTTCACTACACCCTCACAGACTCCCAGGTATGTAGGTAGCCACTCTGAACAAAAAAATGCTGAGGGGCCTGGCTTTTAACCAAGTGTCTCTATAATGGTACATTATTAGCTAGCTAGTATACGCAGCTTCCTCACATTCGTTCTCTCGTATATAATCAGGCCTCTCTGGCTTAGTGAAGCATCAGCGTTCTATGTGGGATGTGCTATGACACATTTTAGCGTCCCACTAGCTGCAATATTATAATTCTCATGGCGAGAACTTATAAGCAGAGGTTATTTCGATAATTGCGTGAATGCAAGCTTTCTCAAAGTTGGCCATTTACTATGTGCTGGGATCAGCTCTGTGTTGATGTACAACCCATACATCCAGTTTCTTGTAGTGCACCTTCCAGGGAGTATATATAGCATTCAGGCCAACTGGCAAAAAAGGTTTTCCTGAAAGTATAATATGTTTTAAGCCTTCCCTACTATTTGGTTAAGGTATTTATACATACTGTTTGTTCACTGTGCCACATCCATTTAGTAAAACTCTGAGAGAAAGGTATATTTGTAGTCACAGGGCCACTACCATCGGTAATAAACACAGAGCTGTCAGATGTAGAACGTAAAAGCGGAGGAAGGAAAAAGATGTGCAGTGACAACAGGTGATGGTAAAAAGACAAACAGCAGAGGATTACGGGAGTTGTAGGCTACTCCACTACAGCGCAGACACAATGAGTCCATTGACTATGCTGGGATCAGCTCTGTGTTAATGTATAATCCATACATTATTATGTTGTATATAGTGCTCCCAGTTACAACATCACCTTCCTCATGTAGCTATAGCAGGCTAACTGACACAAAATGTTTTCGTGAAAGTATGTTTTTAGCCTTTCCTCTATTTGCTTAAGAGATTCATACTGTTTATTCATTCCTCCACTGCCATGTACATTAAGCTACAATAACAGACTAGGTAACTTGTAGTCACATGGCCATTATCATCGGTAAAAAATGCAGAGCTGTCAGAATATGGAACGTAAAAAAGAAAAAGTATATAAAAGGATGTGCAGTGACAAAACAGGTGTTGGGTAAATATGACAAACAGCAGATAACCAGAGTTCTAGGCTCTTCCACTACAGCACAGACGCAATGAGGCGTGTTTCTTTCAATCTTGTTATTATAATGGATTTACAGCTGACCAGTAACTAATCTGTCCCTGGAGTCCAGTTGGCACTGGTTCACCAATAGTTCTGGTCATTATTCTACACCTGTCATTCATTTCATCTCTTCTTTTTAACTATAAAACTCAAACATACATTTCTGTCCGCAGTGTAACAGGCAAACAGCCCTGAGTTCTTACTTCAGCCAGTTGAAGAATCCGCCTATTAAGATAGGGTGGGTGGGGTCAGGCTGTTCCCCAGCAACAGAGCCAACTGCCGAGTTGACTCATTTCTACAACATCACACAGGTAATTAGGCTCACACCATTACTGTAACCACAGTATATACATCAATTTTGCTACTTTTCAAAATAATCATGCTCAGACGTTTCACCCATTTTAAGTGGCCAAAATGCTCATGTTATTAACCTTTTTTCTCATAATTTGCGAATATCATATTGTATGTAAGGCACTACCAGTAAAAACTAGCAATCACTTCCTTTGTTGCAACTGCCATCATGCAGGTGGGTTAGAACAGCAAGCACTAGCAAGAAACATTGCTATTCCATAGTGAGTAATACTCTGAGAGTATGCACGTAAATGGTCTACCAATTTTAGCGCATGCAGCAAGTGGAGAGCGGCTCATATCTCTCTCTCTCTCTCTCTCTCTCTCTCTCGCTCTCTCTCTCTCTCTCTCTCTCTCTCATTCTCTCTCACTAGTTATCTTGTGTAAGTTCGTCACCAGACCTGCAAAATAGAGAAAGATTTAGGTAAAGTGAAACTATTATTTTGCAGTATGTTACCTTCACTCTTTATATCTGCGTGATGCTTGCTCTACCATAAGTTCGTGTTGTCAATTTCTAAGCCTTTTTTCGATGGCAACATTGATTTCTAGGTACTACTTCCAGCTTGTAGCCACAGATGTACTTGGTGCGCATGGATTTTTTGGAATAATTCAACATTTTGGTTGGAGGAAAGTCCGACTTGTTGTTCAAGATGAAAATATCTTCACTGCTGTGAGCTGATGTCCATAATGAAATATGCTCCTATTATAGCTCATTAATATTCTTTAGACTATGGATGATTTGAAGGATATGTTGGATAAGAATGCAGTGGAGTACACAGAAGTACGGTTTATAAGTGAGGAAACTGTGGCAAGCATTAACGCTTTTGTAAGTTCATTTTTTCTTCTCAGATCTATACTTTCCAGTAGCTAGCTTTATAGTGTTAAAAAAACATTCATGCGACACATTCGTTTTGAAATTTGAAACAATTATGAGATGGTAGCTAGCTTCTTTATGTGCATTTGATACTGATCACCAACAATTGTGCGTGTGTATTATAAAATAGTTAACAAACCATTACTTTCTTAAGAACTCAGAAACCAGAATATATGTGATGGCAATGTACAGTCCTCATGCAAGGGATGCACTTTGTGAGGTACGACTAATAAGTCAAGAAGCTCTTGTTGCTCTAGCAAGTCATTGGCTGCAGGCATACAGACGTGGATTTCATTATCCCAAGTATGTCATCATAACTTTTGGCTGGTATGTGAGACAGTGGTGGGAGATGGATGCACCATCCACCAACTGCACTGCTGAGGAGAGAGCCCATGTCCTCCTCTATAGCTTGGCTGCTGTTTCGTCTCAGTTCCCTAGAGAGCAAGATGAGTACACATCTGAACCAAACATAGTGCGTGTTTTCCATTCATGGAATTGCATGTGTGTTTACTTTCAAAGTTTTTGTTATGCTCGTCAGAGTCACCGTTATTAACAGAATAACATGCTGTTTCTTCAGACCTTTCAGAATTCAACTCACTTTACCACGAAGTTGGAGGAGGGACATCAATAAGCCAGAACAATTTGGAAGAGTTTGCTGACTACATTTTTCTTATGCCTACCAGTGCAATGAAGCCACTCTGCTTATGCTTATGCCTTAAGCAAAACAATAGCCGGCAAGTTTATACGTGCAGATCATAAAAACTTACACAATTCCTTGATTTAGACCTTGCTGAGAGTGAGACACTAAACAGAGAAGCGTGCGGATGAAAGTGGTCTTCCTGATAGGAGAAACCTTCACAATTGCCAACTCACACTATGCCAACTCAGACAGTGTGTGTCTCGGATGTTTGAACACCTCCAGAACACCAGTGTTCCTGGAATAAGTGTTAGTTGCATTCAGTTACAGTTATTATAAGACTATACACAGAGAGCAGAAAGTCATTGTATTCATCCACCTATAAGAGAGTTGGTAGACTCTCTATTAGGGATGACACGGGTGAAATCTCACGTGATCCGCGTACAAAACGATCGGTAAGAATCACTCTCTTGGCCTCAAAAACACACGCAATAGTCTACGGGCTCATATCTACCATACATATCCCCAAGTCCTCATACGCACTTAAGTCGTCCACGCGCGATTCGCTCATACGCGACTTCAGATTTTGTGTCATCATATTCTTTTTCTTCTTCTTCTTCTTCTTCTTCCCAAACTATCTCCTTACCAGTAATATACCAGTTGAAGCACTGATTTTTTCACTGAAGGTCTCCAATTTCGCCGAGGTGTGCACGGACATCAAGCGATCGTTTCTTCTTGCCCGCTAGTCACTACGGTAGATCATGGAGCTCTTCCATGGTCGACACTGAACAACACCATTTGCTGCTAACTCAGCATCAGTGAGCCCCACGCATGCGCCAGGCAGGGACCGTTGTCCAATGCGCTTGCGAGCGTATTACCGGGCGAGTTGGCAGACCTGCAGAGGAACTCTCAGCCTCCAGTACCTTCTGTGAGTAAGTGTGCACATTTCCATTTGCACGAAGAGCAACTTGGAGCGGTGTTACGCCGAACGCGAGCTTTGCGGGACACTCAGTCAAATGGACCTTCTTTGTTTGTCCCCCCAGGTTGTAGCCTGATTACCAAAGCCTGCTCATGAAACCACAACCATGTGCTTACATCCTTGTTGAAGACAATACATGAGGTGAATGGGGTATGTAGCCCCCCCCCCCATTAGCTACTACTTTCAACAGTTACACAATTTGTGTAATTTTTCTATGGTAGCCTATCTACAACATGCCCATGAACATCAGAGTGACAGTAACAATAAGTGCAGTGTTGTCATGAGCTTTTAAAAATAGTGGAAACAAGTGGAAAAATCTTTTCTTCAATAATGGGGGATATAGGGATGGCTTGAAGCACCAAGAAGGAAGAAACAAGGGGTCATTACACTGCAAAGTTGCACAAAGCTACATGACACCATCCCTATATCTTTATAAGCAAAGTTTAATATCGAACAAAGATATAGGGATGGTGTCATGTTGCTTTGTGCAACTTTGGAGTGTAATGACACCTTGTTGTTTTCCTTTTTGGTGCTTCAAGCCATCCCTATATCCCACTTTCATTTTGAAGAAATGATTTTTCCACTTGTCAATGTAAAAGATGCTATGTTGTCATATTTTGCCTTCAGCAGTGATGGCATTGTGTGAAATGTGCACATTAGTTAGAAGGAGGTCCAAACAGTCATTATAGCTAGAAATGTTTGCAATGATCACCTCAGTTTGTAGTCTACGGTTGCAATATAAACATTCTAGTAACTTGGTCACTGTGGAGGCTCAACTACCTGCATTTTTAGGCGAGCATGTGAGGTCAGTGGCTGCATCACACAATCAGAAAATAACTATTTGTATTTCAAGTGTGTACAGCGTAATGTTACCTACTTCCTACTATGTCCCACAGGGTAACGATGTGAGATTCAATGATGATGGAATTCGTGACATTAACCAAGTCAGAATTCTGCAATACCAATTAAATGATGATGGTATTCATAATGATGCATAGTATGTCATTACTAATGTTGTTGTTATAGAGCTAATAATACGTGTTGAAGTTGGGTCAGTTGTAAATGTTGGAGATAATAGTACATTTCAACCTACAAATGCCTCATTTCTCTTTCCTGGTAAGGCAGTAAGCGTCTTTTTAAACTTCAACACATGAATTGTTGAGTGTTGTTCAGACGGTGTTCCTATTGACGGAGTACCAATTGAGGAGGTGGTCACAGTATCCATGGGTCTTACAGTTGTCTACGTGATTCTTGCTGCAGCTGGACTTGTCTTTACCACCACTTGTCTTGTTTTCACCATCTTCTTCCGAAATGAAAGGTTCACTTAATGTAGGTCAGGTGACGTGATGGTCTAACAGAGCTCATGCTTTTATCAATTTAGATTGATTCGACTCTCCAGTCCAAACCTTAACTACATCATTGGACTGGGTGCTATAGTTCTCTACATCAATGTCATCATTCTTGTCATTCCAGCTAAAGATGCGAACTTAGCTGCTGTAATCTGCAATGTATGTAACTAAAGAACTCTAACACCAACTTATACCTCGTGTTTTAATCTTCAAGGTCAATCCCTGGCTAATATCTCTAGGGTATTCTCTTTGTTATGGGATTATCATAATTAAGATGATAAGAGTTTGGGTTATATTTAACAGACCTCTTGGATTCAAAGCAGTAAGTGAGATTTTATGCCTACTGACTTCCAGCATCATTATTGCAACATACAGCGACTGTTCAGGGACTATCTGATGACACTGTTTGTACTGTGTCTGGCCATCATTGATGTAGTCATTCTTCTGCTTCATGCTGTGATTGAAGCTACCCGAGATAATCTTGGAGTAAAACTGACATCCAACAGAGAACTGCCAGAAGAAACATTTGGAGTAAGTATATATTTTCATACAAAAAATGAGTACCATTCATTTAACACACTATTATTTTGTCTGGCATAAAGAGAAGGGGCATAATATCGACACCAATATCTGTATTAAAGCTCTTACTAACCACCATCCTTATTGTTCCTAAGCAAAATTTAATATCAAAGAAAGATATAGGGACAGTGTCATGTAGCTTCGTGAATTATTGCTGTGTAATGAGCAAGTACCATGCACTACATCACGGAAAAATGTCGGTAGCCTTGTTATTATCATAATACACATCAATCTCTCTTAGGTGACAGCTGAGCGTCACAAGTACTCTCTGTATATTTGTGAATCTAAAGGACAAGTTTATCTGTATGCAGTTCTGTTTGGATACAAAGGCATTCTGCAAGTCCTGGCTCTGCTCCTGGCTTTTCGTACGCGCAATGTGAAGGTGAAGGGTCTGGATGACTCTGTGTACATTGCTGCCTCTGTGTACGTCACAAGTATTGTGTTGGCTGTCATCATTGTCTCCACCTATACTCTGAGGGACTATGTGAATGCCTACCCAGCTGTGGTGGGAATGGGGTTGCTGCTGGGAACCACCATGATCCTCGGACTCGTCTTCATACCAAGGGTAAGTAAGCAGTAGTTTGGAGTTATAGAACCTGTATTAAAGAGTGAAGCGACTGCTTAGGTATCATCTAGAGGAATGCAATGCACTTTTGGTGAGTGAAGCGAGCATTTCATTATTTTAGCAGAACCGTGTATACATTGCCGTTTGTTGATCCGTGGGTAAATTAACTGTTGCAGATAGAAAATTCCACATTCAGATGCCTAGGTTGGCCCGTTTCACTTGCCAAATAGTATTGTAGTGCGCGGTCCAAGAGAACGGTCGCAGCCGTTCAGGACGCCGAGAGTGTCTGGACTCAATCTCTCATCTTACAGAATGCTCACACATTATTATAGGTGGTGATCGTGTTGTGGTAATGTTTGTGGAGATACAATTAGATAAACACCCAGGTGACAATGTAGGTCTGGTAATGTAGATCCAGGTGCTAGCGTAGACAGGTACACTTCTGGAAGTTCTCTTGCTACACAACTCCCCTCCCTGCGAAGAGTTCGTCCCGAACGGTGTATGTTATATGGAAAGAGAGTCTATTAGCCGCTGGTGGGCGGCGGTTGCGGGAGGGATACCATCGAACCTGCACAGGTACTGGTATGTCTTGGTCTTGGGTTGTTTCTTCGTCAGGCGGTTCGTCCTCGGAAGAGTCGACGAGAAGATTGTATCCGTAACCTTGATGGTTTGTAGGTTGTGTGATATCTACGTCGTCCACGCGCAGATCTGGTGGAAGGCTTTAAGCGGTTGAAATGAACAATATGGAGGCGCTTCTTCCCATCACAACTTTGAATTCTGTAGGTGCAATCTGATAATTGCTGTAGAACACTATATAGGTCTGACCATGGAAAGTGAAATTTGCGAGATTGTCCTGGTGGAACCACGGTGTTTAGTAACCATACGAGGTCGCCAGCGTGAAATGGAGTGCCATGGATGTGTTGGTCACAACTGCTTCTGACGATTGTGTGCCGTTGCTAGATTTGTGCGAACTCTTTGGAAGGCCTGCCGTAGGGAATTCTGGAGCTGGGCTGCATATTCGTTAGGAGAGATGGCGTCTGTAGGGGATAGGCCAAACATGATATCGACAGGGAGTCGGGCCTCGCAGCCGAACATTAGGATATACCCAGTTGATGCTAGTTGTATGCCAGGCAGAGCTTTGGCAGGTGTGTTTCCCATGTGGCTGGATGGTACTTGGCAGCCGTAGCGAGCATACTAAGCAAGGTTCGGTTGAACCTCTCGACTAGTCCATCGCCCTGCGGGTGGTAGGGAGTTGTGTGAGTTTTGTGGATACCCAGAGTTCGGCAGACCTTCTGTAGTAAGGCAGACTCAAATTGGTGACCTTGATCGGAATGAAGCTGTTCTGGTGGTGAGAAGCGGAGGAAGAAGTTGGAAACTAGTTTGTAACGGTGCTAGCTTCTTGGTTTGGGATGGCGTAGGCCTCAGCCCAGCGAGTGAAGTAGTCCATTGCTACCAATATGTAATGATTTCCTGAAGGGCTGCCAGGGAATGGCCCGAGAATATCAACAGCCACTGTTTGCATGGGGGTTCCGGCAGGGATGGTCTGCAGAGGTGCTTGTTGACGGGGTGGGTGCGTCTTACGGGCAGCGCAGGCAGGGCATGTGTTGCACCACCCCTTGGCGTCCATGACTGATCCTGGCCAGTAGAATCTTTGTTGTAGTTTGCCAATTACCTTATCCTGGCCCAGGTGTCCCCCAACAGGGCTGTCATGGAGTTCCCGAAGGATGTGGTTGCGGAGAGAGTGTGGCACAACCAGCTGGAGGACTGACACCGTTCCATCATGCAGGGAGTACTTTCTCCATAACTTGCCATGTTTGACTTGCAGCATGTCCCACTGCGGATGGAGTGAGCGGCTTTCCTGACTCCGGCTCTTGAGCTCTTTCTCTGGGAGTTTTGTTCCA